ACATAAACCATGAAAGGCTGCCCGTCTGGACCTAAATCCAGAGGGCCTGCTTGCCTTAAGGGCAACATGGGAGCTGCAGGACTGGCGGATGCCGAAGGGTCCCCCAGCGTCTCCCCCTCTCTCTCTGTCCATACGCTGTCCCTTGCCCTGTGAGAGAATGGGAGAACGGAGCAGGGCCCTAGACTGGGGTTTCCGGACCAAAGGAAACTGGCTGTGGAGAAGACAGGGGCTGTGGACCGGGGTCATTTGCCACCGTGGGACTGGTGGGGGGAGGAGCATACGGGGGAGGCCTGACCCTGGGGAGTCCCTCCTCACTTGGACCCTGGAGAACAGGGGGAGTTTTGTCCTTCTGGCCGAAGCCAAGAGGACTGTCTGTCTCTGTCCCAATTTCTTTTTCTCATTCTGACAACTCTGTAACCATCTTGGTTTTTCATTCAAAATATCGACCCACACTTGAATATAGGGAATTTGGTCGGGGTGGCCCAGCCAGCGTAGACAACTTGGTGAACCCGATAAGCAGCGGTTAAATCATAAGTCCCTACGACCGGCCATCCTACCTGGAAAGTGGGCCACTCCCTTTCACAGAATTTCTGCAAATCAAAAGCATTAACATCATGACCATACCCTTCAGCTCGCTTCTTGAAGTCCTGAAAATTGTTAAAAAAAAACGTTTCATGGGGTGCACACAGAAGCAGATGACGACGATCCTTGACCCATTTTGACAAACACCAAGACAACAAATATCAGACAGACAAACCCTGTGCAGCCTACAGCCGCACGAACCAGGGACCCTGGACACCGTCGTGGCCGCGGGTCAGGACCAGGAGTACCGCTGTGTCCAGCCCTCCGTATAGGTCCTTCCGTGGGACGTCCCAATTCCAGTTTAACGACCGGTCCTTCCCTCTCTCGAGAGTCCAGGTGGCATGGTTTCCAAATTGAAAGTTTTGGGTGGACTGGAGGCCTTTTGGTAGTCATTTTCCACAGATGTGGGGTATCTCGCCGAGTGCCCGGCAACAAGTGGGGGAGAGCCTCCTGCCTTGAATAGGGGGTCCCTCTCCTCCCTGCCGGGTATCTTGCTGTGGGCCTCCAAATGTTATGGGTTGGCTCAGCGAGATAGACCACCGACTCAGATTTTACATTTTTTTTTAAAATACATTTTATTGATTTTTCACAGAGAGGAAGGGAGAGGGATAGAGAGTTAGAAACATCGATGAAAGAGAAACATGAATCAGCTGCCTGCTGCACGCACCCTACTGGGGATGTGCCCGCAACCAAGGTACATGCCCTTGACAGGAATCGAACCTGGGACCCTTGAGTCCGCTGGCCGACGCTCTATCCACTGAGCCAAACCGGTTAGGGCCAGAATTTACATTTAAGAGCCATTTTAAGCTGGCCAGCTGACCACAGCCCGCACCCTCCCCCTCGGGAAGGTTTGAAGCATGTGGCAGAGTCCAAGGGTGCAGTATGATCCTTTAGAGCAAAATCACACAGTGTTAGAAAAAAAGAAAAAAATAACTACAAAGCATTTCATTAGAAGTTCATAAAAAGTTCATAAGTACAAAGTGGAGGTAAACAGAGTCACACCTGGCTGGAGTGTATCATAACACATTGTTTTTCTAAGACAATCTACCAATTTTTCTTCCATGGTCTCTAACCCTTACACAGTCCTTCATAACCTGACACATTCCCTCTCCATACGTCAGTCCCCCCTCCCAGCACATTCAGTTTCTCATGTTTCATTTCCTTCCCGTAGCACATTCTGTAACATTTTGTAACCCTTCCATGGCTCAGTCCCTCACCCTAGCACAGACCACCGACTCAGAATTTAAATTTAAGAGCCTCTATTAAGCTGGCCAGCTGGCTAACAGCGCGGCCCTCCCCCCATGGAAAGAACCTCGCAGCTGCAGCGCCGAGGAAGAGTGCAGCCAAGGTATTATTGGCAAAAACTACAAAGTGTTACATGACAGGGTAAAAGTTCAGGAGGAAAACGGGGTCACACCTGGCTGGATCATATCATACCACTTTGTTTCTTTAAAACAATCAGTAATTTTTCTGTCACAGCCCCTACCCCCAACACATTCAGTAATCTTTCCATGGCATGGTCCCTCCCCCAGCACATTCAGTAATCTTTCCATGCCTTCCCCCAGTACATTCACTGATCTTTCCATTCGATGGTCTCTACCCTCCATCACAGGCACTGGATTTGGCTGAGAGCGGTGTGTGGGTACTTCGTGTCCCCCTTACACTGAAGCCCGGACAGCTTTAGATGTGGCCGTGGAAACACCGGTGATAGAGGAGAGGTATGCTTAGTGTCCTCCCCTCACCTGCTTCCAAAATATGAATGAGTCCCTTGGAATTTCAATTGGTTAAGTGATTACACCAAAACGAACTCTTGGCTTTTGTATGTTAGATTAGTTTAGATCAGCTGTGGGCAAACTATGGCCCGCAGGCCAGATCTGGCCCATTAGAAATGAATAAAACTAAAAAAAAGACTACCCTTTTATGTAATGATGTTTACTTTGAATTTATATTCGTTCACACAAACACTCCATCCATGCTTTTGTTCTGGCCCTCCGGTCCAGTTTAAGAACCCATTGTGGCCCTCGAGTCAAAAAGTTTGCCCACCCGTGGTTTAGATCCTTGGGAGGACACATATGTTTACACTGTCCTCTAGGCAAGGGAACCCAGGGATTAAGCATAAGGATTCCAGTAAACACCCAGGGGTCTGCATATGCACAGATATGTTTGCAAAGATCAGGGAATAAATAGGGGCACCGCCTTCGACACTCCCCTAATTCGGCATTCTGGTACACAGGGCAGGCGGCCTCCCACACACTTCCCTTTTATCAGAATGTCCTCCTTACAAACTTTCCAACCAAGTCTCTGTGCTCCCCAACATGTAAGGAAGGGGTAAGAAAACAGTCAGAAATCTGGAGTGAATGAAACCTAAACCAGTCAGTCCCTTGGAGCTTTAGGACCTTTGTGGATGAGCATAAAGGGCATCCAACCTCCACATCTGCGGGTGACGGTGTAGCTTATATCGTAGAGAAGCTGAATAAAATACTTGAAGCACCTGAAGGTATTAGAGAAAAATCAAGTCAGACAGAACCTGAAGGAAATTGCTGGAGAGAATGTGGGAGCACCTAGGCAAGCCCCACATTTACCTGTGCTTTCCCCCCAGGGCATTTACTAACTGATAGAGCAAGGATCAGAGACCAAGCTGAAAGAGGTGGCCAGGGCTTGTGGCATTTCAGTTGGCTGGGAAGCAGGAAGTTAGAGTTCAGAAATGCCATGTGCTGGGGTCCAGCCCCGGGGATCCAGCGGTTCCCAAAGGTGTGGACAGAGTCGGAGAAGAATGTTTTACATGGAGACAGCGTTCAGAACTCTCTAGCTCTCTTTAGTCTCTGTGGATCTTCCTGTGCCTGGCTGAGGCCACAGGGAAAGATCCTGAGGCAAACTGAGCCTTTATTTTATAGTCAGAGGTAAACAAGGTAGTGGTTACCAAAGTTACACTGTTCTTGTGAGCTTCACTTGTTTACACTGTTCTGGTGGGTTTCACTTGTTTTTGTTCTTGTTGCACTACCCTCAGCCCATTACCTTCCCAGGTAAGATCTAGGGAGCCCTATAAGGTCAAGCCTAATTATGCTAAGAGGACTGTGCCCTCTAAGCTGGGACTTGTTTGTGGCTTTGCCAACAGGTCAGTCCGAATCTTGTAATCCTATATTGGCTCCCCACAGCCATGGAGTCTGAAATTTGAAATGGAAGCGGAAACCTTAGAGAAATGAGCCCAAGATTCAATGTGCAGTTTCCACTTGAGGTGTTTGTCAGTTCCTAAGCCGTTCATGCTCAGGGCAAGATTCCCAGCCCCTAAGTTGAAAGCAACAGTTGTGAGGCTAATCAGTTGTGCAGCCCAGCCAGCGTGGCTCAGTGGTTGAGCATCGATCTGTGAACCAGGAGGTCACAGTTTGATTCTCAGTCAGGGCACATGCCTGGGTTGCAGGCTCAATCCCCAGTGTGGGGCGTGCAAAAGGCAGCTGATCAATGATTCTCTCTCATCATTGATATTTCTATCTCTCTCCCTCCCTCTCCCTTCCTCTCTGAAATCAATACAAATATCTTATGTAATGAAGAGGGAATATGCAAAATGAACATCAGAAATATTGTGGTGCCCACAATAGAGGCAGGGGTTTCTGTAACAAAATGTCTGCACCCAAGCGGAGGCCAAGTTCCCGTAATGTGACTTAACCAGCAGGGACCTGAGGCTGCATCCCCCTCCGGTCGGGACTTGAAGGGGGATCTCAGGCCATGTCTCCCACCTGGGGCCTGACAGTGGACCGCAAGGAGCTCCCCTCCACCCTGGCATTGGGCCAGGGAACTTCAGGCTGCACCCCCACCTGGCAGGGCTTGATGGGAGACCTTGGGCCACTCCCCCCAGCCCTGGCACCATGCCAGGGAACCTCAGTCCAAGCCCCCCTACCCAGCGGAGCTTGAGTGGGGACCACAAGGCACGCCCCTGGCCCAGGCCTGGGGACCTAAGGCTCCACCCCCACTTGGCATGCACTGGGAGATCTGAGGCTGCGCACCCCTCCTGGCAAGGCTAGACAGGGGTGGGGCCGGCTGATCTGGGTCTTGTGCAATTTCAAGGAGCGAGTGGTGGGCTGGGATTTGACTCTGAGTCCCACGGCACACCCCATACTGACAAGAGGAAGATTTTCATATACATTTTACTAATTTTCTTTCAACTCTGATGCTTCTTTTATATAGAAAGGGCAAATAGTAATATTAAAATATTTCCTGTAATTAATTCCCTTTTAATGTGCTCGAATTTCGTGCACCAGGCCACTTGTATTAAAATTTAAAAAAAGATGTCACAGAGTATACAGTTGAAATTACTGCAAAGAGGACAAAGAAATTCACATTTTCATGCAATAAAAACATTTCCCTTGTTCTAATTTGGAAGAAGTATTCAGGTTAATATTTTTCTCTGTGCTTCCTTCAAGGTACCTGAGATCCAGCTGCTCTTCTTCCCTAAGAAGATCCATGAGACACTCCTCAGGTGAGTTCTAGTCCATACTTCAGATTTAAGCTCAGAAATATGTCCAGGCCTGAGTAGAGGAATATGTAACAGTGGCCTCTGCTCCCTCCCACCTGTCAGGATGACCTCCCACCTAAGAAAATCACATCCTGGTCATGAAGATGTCTCGATTTCCCTGCCTGAAGCTTGGATCTCTCCAGCTGGGCTCTCCTCATCATTCTCAGATTTCTATGATGTCACCACTTAGTTTAATGGAAATTACCATCACCTGGAGCAGGGATGGGCAAACTTTTTGACTTGAGGGCCACAATGGGTTCTTAAACTGGGTCAGAGGGCCGGAACAAAAGCATGGATGGAGTGTTTGTGTGAACTAATATAAAATCCAAGTAAACATCTACACTAATAAAAGAGAAACATGGTAATTGGCGTACGACCGCTACCCTTTTCATTGGCTAATCAGCGAGACATGCAAATTAACTGTCAGCCAAGATGGCAGCCAGCAGACAGGCAGCTTGAAACTAACGTGAGGCTTGCTTGCCTCAGTGACGGAGGAAACCAATGTTCCCCCCCTGCAGCTGCAGGCCTCTGAGCCGGCAGTTTCAAACATTGTAACAAATACCGCCGGACTTCAGCCAGTAGTTTCGCAACATTGTAAGCAAAGGCCAGAAAGTTAGCGGAGGCCTAAGAGCTGAAGCCAAGCCTCAAGCTAAAGCTGGCCCAGAATAAACATAAAAAAAAGGAAAAAAGGAGAGTTTGGGAGTTCAGTCACCCCCAGCCTGAAAACAGCCCTCAGCCCCTCACCCAGACTGGCCAGGCACCCCAGTGGGGACCCCCACCCTGATCCAGGACACCCTTCAGGGCTAACCAGCCAGCCCCATCCATGCACCAGGCCTCTATTCTATATAGTAAAAGGGTAATATGCCTCCCAGCACCGGGATCAGCGGAGCCAAGAGGCCTCCCGGCACTGGGATCAGCATGACAGTGGGCAGGACCCAAACACCCTGATAGGCCCTGCTTTGTGGGTGATAGAGGGTTGCGCCCCAACCTCCTCAGCCCCGCCACAGACCCTGCTCTGTGTGTGACAGGGTAGAGCCATAACCTTCCCATCAGCCCTGCCCTGAGTGTGACAGTGGCAGCGCCCCAACCCCCTGATCGGCCCTGCGCTGTGGGTGATAGAGGGCGGTGCCCCAACCCCCCCCTCCCCCACGGGCTCTGCTCTGTGTGTGATGGGGTAGAGCCATAACCTCCCCATCAGCCCTGCCCTGAGTGTGACAGTGGCGGCGCCTCACTCCCCTGATTGGCCCTGCTCTGTGGGTGATAGAGGGCGGCGCCCCAACCCACTGATCTGCCCTGCTCTGTGTGTGACAGGAGACGGTGCCCCAACTCCCCTATCGGACCTACTCTGTGAGTGACAGCGGGGAGCTCCCAACCCCCTGATGGGCCCTGCTCTGTGCGTGACAGGGTACGGAGCCCCAACCTCCCTGATGGGCCCTGCACTGTGCGTGACAGGGCGTCGCGCCGCAACCTCCCCATCGACCCTGCCTTGAGTGTGACAGGGGGTGGTGCCCCAACCCCCCAATCGGCCCTGCTCTGAGCCCGACCAGGGGCTGCACCTAGGGATAGGTCCTGCCCTCTGCCACCCGGGAGCAGGCCTAAGCCAGCAGGTCGTTATCTCTTGAGGGGTCCCAGACTGCAAGAGGGCACAGGCCGGGCTGAGGGACCCCCTCCCCCCGAGTGCACAAATTTTTGTGCACCAGGCCCCTAGTCATTACATAAAAGGGTACGCCTTTTTTTTTTTTTTTTTTTTTAGTTTTATTCATTTCAAACGGGCCAGATACGGCCCGCAGGACGTAGTTTGCCCACGGCTGCCCTGGAGCCAGGAGAACCGAGTTACTGCCTGAACCTACTTTTTTATTCGTCTGCAGTTTACCCAGTTGCTTTCCCTTGTCCTCACTGAGACGTGTGCAGCTCCAGTGGCAGTTTTCCAAGATTTCCCAGGACTGAGGTTTCCCAGGAGGCAGACTAGCATTCCAGAGCCGCCCCAGGAAAACTGGGTAGAGTCGGTGCTGCTCTTAATGGTGGAGTTTGTAGTCTGAGCTAGTGCACATGTGAAGTTCTTTCTTTCTTTTTTTTTTGTTTTCATTATGTATTTTTTTAATCTTTATTGTTCACCTTATTACAGTTGTTCCTCTTTTTTCCCCCTATAGCTCCCCTCCACCCGGTTCCCACCCCACCATCTGCCGTTACCCCCGCCACCCACTGTCCTCATCCATAGGTACATGATTTTTGTCCACTCTCTTCCTGCACCCCCCACACCCCTTCCCCAACCCCAGAATAGTCAGTCCACTCCCTTTCTATGCCCCTGATTCTACTATATTCACCAGTTTCTTCTGTTCATCAGATTATTTATTCACTTTATTTTTAGATTCACTTGTTGATAGATGTGTATTTGTTGTTCATAATTTGTATCTTTACCTTTTTCTTCTTCCTCTTCTGAAAGGATACCTTGCAGCATTTCATATAATACTGGTTTGGTGGTGATGAACTCCTTTAGCTTTTTCTTATCTGTGAAGCTCTTTATCTGTCCTTCACTTCTGAATGATAGCTTTGCTGGGTAAAGTAATCTAGGTTGTAGTAGGTTCCTGCTGTTCATCACTTTGAATATTTCTTGGCACTCCCTTCTGGCCTGCATAGTTTCTGTTGAGAAATCAGTAGACATTCATATGGGTACTCCCTTGTAGGTAACTGAGTTTCTTTCTCTTGCTGCTTTTAAGATTCTCTCTTTGTCTTTTGCTCTTGGCATTTTAATGATGATGTGTTTTGGTGTGGTCCTCTTTGGATTCCTTTTCTTTGGGGTTCTCTGCACTTCCTGGACTTGTAAGTCTATTTCTTTCACCAGGTAGGGGAAGTTTTCTGTCATTATTTCTTCAAATAGGTTTTCAATATCTTGCTCTCTCTCTTCTTCTGGCACCCCTATAATTTGGATGTTGGTACGCTTGAAGGCTCCTTACACTGTCTTCATATTTTTGGATTCGTTTTTCTTTTTGTTTTTCCGGTTGGGTGATTTTTGCTTCTTCATATTTCAAATCTTTGAGTTGATTCTTGCTAGTCTCTAGTCTACTGTTGGAACTCTGCATAACATCCTTTATTTTAGTCAGTGTATGTTTAATTTCTAGTTGGTCCTTTATCACAACCTCGAGGGTCACACTAGATTTCCTTAGGGTCTCACTAAATTTATCTGGGGTCTCACTAGATTTCTTGAAGGTCTCACTAAATTTATCAGTGGTTTCTAGAAAATTGTGGAAAAACCTTAAAAGTGTGGTTTTGAACTCTATATCCAGTAGTTTGCTTTCCTCCATTTCTGTCATTTGTGGCATGTTTCTTTGTCTCCGCATTTTTTATGCTTCCCTGTGTTGCTAGAGTGGCTTTGTATGCTAGGTGTCCTATAGGGCCAAGTGGCTCAGCCTCTCCAATTACCTGAGGTGGACACTCTTGGTGCACCCCTTTGTGGGCTTTGTGCACAGTCTTGTTGTAGTCAAGCCTTGACTGTTGCAGGCATCAATGGGAGGAACCGACCCCCAGGCCAATTGGCTGTGAGAATCAACCCTGTCTGCAGTGGGAGAACCCCCGAGCTGGAGACACCCATCTGGGGCAAGACCCGCGTCAGCGGGGCCCTGGTGCTCACTGAGTCCACCCCCTGAGTGTGTCCCCCATGGATCTGAGGAGCCGCAATCTGGATGGTCCCACGTTGACCACTGGGAATACTGGCTCTTGGATCGCTAAGGAGGTGCTAATTTAGCCTCTGCCTGAGGCTACCCAGTATGACCTATGGAGAGATTCCTCTTCTTTGTTTGGGTTTGGAGGTGCCCAGATGAGGTCCAGCTGTGAAGCAATGCAAGCTGCTGTGGGGCATTGGGCCTTTTTTCGATGTTCTGGGTTGCTCTGATTCAGCTGCAGTTTGTTAGGTAATTTTCAGGTTGCTAAGGGCCAGGCCTTTCATATGCAGAAGCCTCTGCAACAGCTTGGGTGGGTTGTGGTCTCGGGATCAACAGGGCGGAGCAAGCAGCTATGGCTGCTCCCCAGTCCTATCCTAGGAGGCCCCATGTATCAGTGTCCAGGTAATGGCTGCAAGCACCTCTGAGAGAAAGCCGCCCTCGAGTTCTGCCCGATGCCAGACAGTCCAGTTTCTCCCCGTATGAGTCTGGGTCCCCAGAGACTCACCCGGAACTGCAGTCCAGAGCAGTCAGGAGCTTGAGACTCCCTCCCAATTGAAAATACAACCATGTCCTCAGCTGCCAGCCCTTTCTGCGTGTGCCTCAGTACCTCTGCACTTTACTTCCGCACCTCCTCTGAGTCTCAATGTGCTTTTCTCTTTCCTTCCAGTTGTAGAATTTCCACTCAGCCAGCCTTCCTGTGGTTCTGGATGATGTCCGCTTTGTCTTTTAGTTGTATTTTTGAAGTGGCTACATGAGGCAGCAATTTCCAGTGTTTACATATGTTGCCATCTTGGTTTCTTCTCCGGAATTTCTTGGTGGTGATGGAACTAGCGTGCTTCCTGATGGTGGGAATGATCACCTCTGGGGAAACTGGATAAATGCTCAGGGAACTCTCTATACTATTTTTGCAATGTCTTGTGTACCTTGAACTATTTCAAAGTAAAAAGTGTATTGTTTTTTTTTTACATTATACTGTAGGCCCTGGCCAGGTGGCTCAATTGGATGGATTAGCAGTTGCCAACCAGTGGTCCATGTACCACTGGTGGTCCGTGAGGTCCGAAAGGTTGGCGACTGCTGGGTTAGAGTGTCATCCTGTGCCCCAAAAGTAGTCTGTGGGTTCAGTCCCCAGATGGGGTGTGTACAGAGGGCAACCGAACAGTATTTCTCTCTCACATCAATGTCCCTTCCCCTTACCTTTACATTTACCCTTACCCTTACCATTCCCCTACCCTATGAAGTTCTTTCTCTTCTTGTTGAGGATGTGCCAATGGGTATACCCGTGTACCTATCCATTAGTATTTTTTTTCAAAATTAAGTTTCCAGAGTTTTACTTTCCATATTAAGCACTAGCATTTTGTGCAGACAATAAGTCTACATTTAGAAGGAGGCTGTTGACAATAAATGTGGGAAGGTATCTGAGGAAACAACCCCTTCAATTAAGTCACTGCTTCATATAGGCCTCTCTGCTCTGGAGTCTGGAGATGGGGAACATCTAGAGCAAGAATTCTCTCAGAGCCTTATCTTCTCTAGGTAGGACAGGACTTTGTGTTGTCACAAAATTATCTCCAGTGCCATGGTAACTGTTTCTCTTCATCTGTTGCTGAGCCTCGGGGAAGTCTTGTTGGAGAGAGCCAGTGCGCTGACAGCTGACAGATGTGGCACTAAGAGCTAGAGGAAGTGGTGACATGTGGCTGCATGGGCCTTCCTGAGATCTGCAAATTCTGGCCACTGTTGAACTGATCAAGTCAGATGTTTATTTTAGCTAAACATGATATATTTAATTTTCATTTTTACTGAGATGGTTTTCCCTATAGTTAGTGTTTCTTTAATGTTATGAATGTCTTTTTTGTTACTGCTTCTTTTCTATCCATTTCAAAAATTTTTATCCTAGAAAAAAATGTTTCTCTCAAAGTTATTTTATGTCTCTCTGTAATTACTTCTATGAGAAAGTCCACCTTCTCCAGACACCTTTTCATTTGAAATCAGTAGCAATTCTCTTGTATTTCTGTGACCAAACACATTATTTTATCTCCCCCAAATTACTTCCAAACCCAGGCAACAAGTGTACTTTAGGACATGGGTAAACTGACTCTTTTTAAGCTACACTTGCTCATACAAATGCTTTGCAGTGCAGTTGTTTGCACTTTTTTTTTTTTTTTTTTTTTTTTTTCCTGTTTGCCCTTTTTAAAGTCAACAGTTGGCACTAGCTAGTTTGGCTCAGTGGAAGATTGTTTGCCTGTGGACTGAAGGTTCCCAGGTTTGACTCCTGTAAAGGGCATATGCCTGGGTATAAATGAAGTCAATAGTTGACTTCCAGTGTTCTCATTGTGATGGGCATTTCCTCTTCTCTCAGGATCACCTAAGTGGGTCAGAGCATCCTGAGCACTGGGTCTTGGTGGAGATGCCGGAATGAGAAGGCACAAGAGTCCTGGTCCCCACCAATCAGCCTCCCGGGTGACGAGTTCTGTGCCTGGAACAGAGACCACTGTGCCCCTGGTTGCCTCCTCTCCTGCCATCCTCACCCCGTTCAACCCACAGAGGCCCCCAGCTGATGTTCGTGTGACCTTTGAGGATGTTGCTGTGCAGTTCTCTAAGGAGGAATGGTGCCTCCTTGATGAGGCTCAGAGACACCTGTTTCTCGAAGTGATGCTGGAGAACTTTGAACTCATATCCTCTCTAGGTTGCTGCTGTGGAGCAGAGGATGTGGAGGCACCTACTGAAGAGCATGTTTCTGTGAGAGTGTCACAGGCCAAGAACCCCAATGTAGCTGTGTCCTCCCAGAAGAGCCACCCCTGTGAGAGTTGTGGACCAGTCCTGAGAGACATTTTCCACTTGGTTGAGCAGCAGGGAACACAACACAGACTGAAACTATTGAGGTGTGGGGCATGTGCAAAGCAGTTTTATTTCGGCAAGAAAGCCATTGGCTGCAACCACAACCTTGCTCAGGACCATGGTGTCTGTAATGGAATACAGTGTTTTGTGTGCCGTGAATGTGGAAAATCTTTTACAAAAATCTCTGATCTCCATTATCATCAGAAATTGCACACAGGAGAAAGTCCATACAAGTGCAGTGAATGTGGGAAATGCTATAATCAACACTCCAAACTTATTCGACACCAGCGAGTTCATTCTAAAGAAAAGCTTCACGAGTATGGCGAATGTGGGAAATTCTTTAGCCAAAGTGCAAAACTCATGCAACACCAGAGAGTTCACACTGGAGAAAAGCCATTTGAATGTGATGAGTGTGGGAAATCCTTTAGCATACATTTTAGCCTTGTTCGACACCAGACAGTTCACACTGGAGAAAAGCCATATGAGTGTGGTGAATGTGGAAAATATTTTACCAGAATCTCTGGTCTTTATCGTCATCAGAGACTTCACACTGGAGAAAAGCCTTATAAGTGCAATGAATGTGGGAAATCTTTTGTCAGGAACTGTGAGTTGAGTTATCATCAGAAATGTCACACTGGAGAAAGGACTTACAAGTGCAGTCAGTGTGGGAAATCTTTCACCACTCGCTTAAGCCTCAGTTATCATCAGAGACGTCACACTGGAGATAGGCCTTATGAGTGTAGTCAGTGTGGGAAAACTTTTACCACTAGTGCTGGCCTCCGTCATCATCAGAGACTTCACACTGAAGAAAGGCCTTATGAGTGCAGTCATTGTGGGAAATCTTTTACCAGTAAGAATAAGCTCCTTTGTCATCAGAGAATTCACACTGGAGAAAGGCCTTATGAATGCAGTGAATGTGGGAAATCTTTTATCAGGAACTGTGAGTTGAATTATCATCAGAAATATCACACTGGAGAAAGGTCTTATGAGTGCAGTCAGTGTGGGAAATCTTTTTCCAGTAAGGGTAGTCTCAGTTATCATCAGAGACTTCACACTGGAGAAAGGCCTTATGAGTGCAGTCAGTGTGGGAAATCTTTTACTGGTAAGAATAAGCTCCATTGTCATAAGAGAATTCACACTGGAGAAAGGCCTTATGAGTGCAGTCAGTGTGGAAAATCTTTTACCACTAGTGATGGCCTCCGTTATCATCAGAGAGTTCACAGTGGAGAAAGGCCTTATGAGTGCAGTCAGTGTGGAAAATCTTTTACCAGTAAGAGTAGCCTCAATTGTCATCAGAGAATTCACACTGGAGAGAGGCCTTATGAGTGCAGTCAGTGTGGGAAATCTTTTACCAGTAAGGGTAACCTCTGTCATCATCAGAGAATGCACAGTGGAGAAAGGCCTTATGAGTGCAGTCAGTGTGGGAAATCTTTTACCAGTAAGAGTAGCCTCCATTATCATGAGAGTCTTCACACCAGAGAAAGGCCTTATGAGTGCAGTGTGGGAAATCATTTGCCCTGAACGATCAGTTGCATCTTCATCAGAAAGTTCACAGGAGAAAGGGCTCAGGATTGCAGTGAATGTGGGAAATATTTTGCCAGAAACAGTTACTTATGTTGTCATCAGAGACTTTACAGGTGTGCCTATACTTTTGAACGGAATTACTTTCAAAGATCTTGCAAAGGGCCATGTATTCTAATGTCTGTAATTCCATGGGTGATGGTCACTTGGGTATAGGTGTTATGCCCAGATTTTAAGATTCCCAAGGCCAACCAGGGAGCCAGCGAGTCCGATGCAAAAGCAAAGAGTCCTTTATTTCAAAATCGAGTCTGGCTCCCCCACCCTCCTTACTGACACAGCAGCAGGTGTCAGAGAGAGGGCTAGCGCGATGGAAAGAGGAGTTTTATAGTGGGGTGGAGTAAGGGGTGGAGAGGTGACTGTGGGTACTGCCGATTGGCCAGGTGCAAGTCGGTGTCTCATTACACAGGATGTGGTCATATTGATGGCATGCACTTCCCTTGATTATCATTGGTTAGTCCAGAGAAATCCTGGTGTGGCTAGCAGAGGCTTGGGCTTCCGGGAAGAAGTTTTGCCGAGCACATGACTCTGCCCAAAAACAGAGACCCAGGGTAAGATGGAGGGCATAGTCCTCGCTCTTTCAATAGGATAGTAGGGTTTAGGGCAAAGCATAATTACTACAGAATCACTGGCCTAATAGGGATTGTGCATAATTCTTAAAATGGAGATAGGTTTCATTTATCTTTATCAATAACTCATAATACGATGTCCAAGTCAGAGGAGAGGCGAATGTTTAACTTAAAGAAATTAGGAAGTTGTGATTTAAGCCAATTGCACGTTTTTGCATTCTTCCAGCAGTGTATGACAGAGTTAATTCCTCCACATCTAGAAAAGGTTTGCTCAGTCCTTTATTTAAACTTTTTTGTAACTTTGTCATGCTATATTTACTGTTGTTCTATTGCATTCTTTCTAAGGCTTAATGGTGAGCCTTTTTTCAGATGTGAATTTGCTATCTCTATATTTGGTTAAATGTCTGAGTATATGTTCTGCCAAATCTATGAATTTTGGCAAGTTTCTTTAATAAACGGACAGTGAAACAAAAATGCAAGTTAGAACTTCACTCATTTTGTGTCTTTTTTGCTTTGTAGGATAAGTGTTTTTCATATTGGAAAAAATAAACTAAACAATTGACTTAAGATAAGGGTCTTATTTCATTCTTTGGATGTGAGTATCTAGTTTTCCCAGCACTGTTCATTGAAGAGAAACTATCCTTTCCCAACTGTGTATTATTGGCTCGTTTGTCAGAGAGGAGCTGGCAGCATATACATGGGGCAACAGGACTACTTGGAAGTAGGTCATTCTTGGGGACATCACAGTCGGCTGCAGAGGTTATCAAGATGAGGCACTGAGGGGAAGGGGAAAATGAACCAACTTGGGACTGATCTTTTATTTATTTATTTTTTTAATATATTTTATTGATTTTTTACAGAGAGGAAGGGAGAGAGATAGAGAGCCAGAAACATCAATGAGAGAGAAACACTGATCAGCCGCCTCCTGCACACCCCCCACTGGGGATGTGCCCGCAACCAAGGTACATGCCCCTGACCAGAATCGAACCCGGGACCCTTGAGTCCGCAAGCCAACGCTCTATCCACTGAGCCAAACCGGTTCTGGCGGGACTGATCTTTACAGTCAGTTTAGAGCAATGGTTCTCAACCTTCCTAATGTCGCGATCCTTTAATGCAGTTTCTCATGTTGTGGTGACCCCGAATTTCATTGTTACAAATTGAACATAATTAAAGCATAGGGATTAATCACAAAAACATTATGTAATTATATATGTGTTCTGTGAAAGGGTCATTCAACCCCCAAAGGGGTTGCGACCCAAGGTTGAGAACCGCTGCAAACGAAGCACTGCAATGTGACAAGAGCCCTCAGTTGAAATTTGCATTAACTAGATGACCTTTCAAAGAATAGGAGCCCCTTTCACCATGAGATAGAGTTTCTGAGAAGTAAAGTTTGTTGAGACTTTAAATATAGTAAGACAGTGGCTTACACAGTTCTCAGTTCCCGCAACATTGCCATGATGTACTAGTTTTGTTAGCCCATTTTATAGAACAGGACGCTAAGGCTTAGCAGAGTGAGCTAAACTGTCACAAATCACAGGGCTAATAGTGACACAACCACAGACTGTGCTGCTCCTGGGAGCTTCTGGGTTAAAGACTCTTCCTCAGTTCTGCTGCCTCATTGTCAGCCACGTCCTGCTCTGCCTGTGTCTCTGTACCTGTCCCTCTGTCTCTTTGCTGTGTGAATTGTGTCCTTGTCCATTTCTCATAGGAGACCTTCTAAGCTTCCTCTTGTAGTTACCAGTTTTCTGCCTCTAGAACGACTTCCCATTCTATACTGTGTACGTTGAGAGCAAGTTCTTCTATTCTTCTGTGGCCATCTTTCATTGCACTGTCCCCACATGGCATAAGCATGAGAGCCCTCCCTCTCCCTGTCCTGGGGCCTCTGTGAGAGGTATGGGGCAGTAGAAGAGGACGGCAATGGTAAGGCCCCATCTTTTCACAGACAGGCCCCCCTGCAGCACAGAGACCATCTCTCCAGAAAACAGCAGCACGAGTCCAGCTGGACATACAAAAGGAAAATGCACCTTTACCAGTAACCCCAGAATTTCTAGTAAGCCAGAAATGTGACACCATTTTCACTTGGGCCACTTCCTGATCCAGCAAAGATGGAAAGACATGCTAATTCAGTGTGGGCCTGGGTGTGAGCCAGGTGACACACAGCTTATTCTTGAGATCATCTACACTAATAAAAGAGAAAGATGCAAATTGACCATACCCCCGAATGCTTCCCATTGGCTAATCAGCAGGATATGCAAATTAACTGCCAGCCAGGATGGTTGCCAGCAGCCAGGCAGCTGAAGCGAACAGGAGGCTTGCTTGCTCCAGTGTCGGAGGAAAATTGCAGAAACGTGATGCATAAGTCAGAGCCATGAACTGATGATTCACACACAAAAAAAGAATAAAAAATGTTAGCCCTAACAAGTTTGGCTCAGTGGATAGAGCGTCAGCCTGTGTATTCAAGGGTCCTAGGTTTGATTCCAGTCAAGCGCATGTACCTTGGTTGTGGGCACATACCCAGTAAGGAGTGTGCAGGAGGCAGCTGATCAGTGTTTCTCTCTCATTGATGTTTCTAACTCTCTGTCCCTCTGCCTTCCTCTCTGTGAAAAAACAATAAAATACATTTTTTTAAAAAAAATGTTTCTCTCGCCAAAACCGGTTTGGCTCAGTGGATAGAGCGTTGGCCTGCGAACTGAAGGGTCCCGGGTTCGATTCCTGTCAAGGGCATGTACCTTGGTTGCGGGCACATCCCCAGGGGGGAGTGTGCAGGAGGCAGCTGGTCGATGTTTCTCTCTCATCGATGTTTCTGAATCTCTCTCTCTCTCTCTCTCCTTTCCTCTCTGTAAAAACTCAATAAAATATATTTTTTTAAAAAAAATGTTTCTCTCAGTGATGTTTCTAACTCACTATCCCTCTCTCTTCCTCTTTGTAAAAAAGTTAATAACACATATGTTTTTTAAATATGATCCTTAAGCCCTGACTGGTTTGGCTCCGTGGAGAGAGCGTCGGCCTGCGGACTGAAGGGTCCCAGGTTCGAATCAGGTCAAGGGCATGTACCTTGGTTGCGGGCAAATCCACAGGGGGTGTGCAGGAGGCAGTTGATTGATGTTTCTGACTTTCTATCCCTCTCCCTCTCTGCAAAAAAATCAATAAAATATATTTTAAATAAATAAAAATGATCCTTAAGCATGAAAAACTATACAACCATTTAATGAGAAAAATGCACATCAAAATAACACTAAGATATTTCTCACCTATCAGATTAGCAAAAATTAAAAAGTACACCAACACATTCTGTTGGCAAGCCTGAGAGGAACTAGGGACTCTTAGACATCGCTGGTCAGAATGCAAATTGGTATGCTAATTTTGGGAAAGCAGGCAACATCTAACGAAATGACACATGCTTTTCCCAGTTTACCCTGGTCAAACGTCTCCAGTTGTACAAGAATATGTATGCCCAAAGTAATTCATTTTAGCATTGTACTTACAAAACCCTGGAATTAACCTAAATAATTGACATGGGAGAATGGCTGACTGAACAACAGTAGATCCACCCAAGGGAATACTACCCTATCACATAATAGCCAGACATGGTAATTGACCATACCTTTTCTATGCCTCCGATTGGCTAATCAGCGCGATATGCAAGTTAACCACCTACAAAGATGGTGGTTAATTTGCATATACCGGCTCGGAGGGAAGCAAGACAGGCGGCAGAGGCTGGAGCAAAACAAGCTGGGAGGCGGGCAAAACAAGCTGGGCAGGGTGGCAGAGGGAGGTGGAAACGAAACAAGCTGGGCCAGGCAGTGGAGGGTGGCAGGGGCGTGAAACAAGCCAGGCCTGGAGGCTGCGGGAGGCGTGGGTGAAACATGATGGACATTTCCCGAGGGGTCCCAGACTGCAAGAGGGAACAGGCCGGGCTCTGAGACCCCTCCCCCTAAGTGCACAAATTTTTGTACTCCGGGCCTCTAGTACAGCTATAAAAAGGAGAGACCTGACCAGTTTGGCTCAGTGGCTAGAGTGTCAGCATGTGGATTGAAGAGTCTCAGGTTCAATTCCGGACAGGGTATGTACCTTGGTTGTGGGCACATCCCCAGTAGGGGGTGTGCAGGAGGCACCTGATTGATGTTTCTCTTTCATGGATGTTTCTAACTCTCTATCCCTCTCCTTTCATCTCTGTAAAAAATCAATAAAATATATTTTTTAAAAAAAGAACAATATCTATAAACTGATATGGAATGGCTTCCAAAATATATAGTTAAATGTAAAAGCAAAATCTGAGAAATTATGCCACCTTTTGCGAAAGAAAGGAGAAATAAGAAAATATATATCATCTGTACGATTACACAAAAAGAAACTTGGGAAAGGTAACCCAGGAACCAATGAGATTGGTTACATCCAGGGAGTGGGTGGAAATGGGGTGAAAATAATAAGATGGTGGAAACAGGGTAGAAAAGATGGCAACAGTGAGACTTGGTAGAATTTATGGTTTTGTGCAGTTCTGACTTCTAAAACCACCTTAATATTTCACATACCCAACCCCAGGGGTCCTCAAACTACGGCCTGCGGGTCACTTGCAAATACAA